AAAAAAAAAAAAAAAAAAGAACAAAAAGACAGCGTTCCTATTTTTTAATGAGCAGGCTGCGTTAGCCAGAGCCAGCCCTGGGCAGCGCCTGCCCTCCTCTCCCTGGCAGGGGGCTCGTGCAGGCCCCCCCCCGGTCTCGGACTAAGCTAGCCCCCAGCCCCTGAGGTGTCCTTGGGATCTGGAGGTGTGTTCAGCTCCCCGGGAGCGCAGAGGGTGCCCCCGGCTTTGCCCCGAGCCTCCACCTGCTGTGCAGCGCGAGGGGCGCAGCCGCCAGCACCCGCGGGCTCTGTGGACCAGGAGGTGCCCGGCGCCGCCTCCTGAAGCTGAACGACGCGATGGGGACGGGCACGCAGCAATAACCCTCGATTCTTAAACAGCATCTTACGTGCCGAGAGCTTTCTGCATCGGGCACCTCTCCTCAGCACCCCCCTTGCGTTGCGCAGTGCGACAGAGGCTCTGGATTTGATGTGCTGGGTTTGCTAATCTCTCTTTTCCTTGTTATTTTTCCTGACGCTCTCTGAGAAAGCGACGTCTGAAATTGTGCATCCTTGCAGCAGGCGGGGGCGAGTGGCGAGGAGATGTGCCCGTGGCCGAGCCGGGTGGCAGAGCCCGTCCGCACGCTCCCCTGGGCTTGTATTGACCTCGGGCAGCCTGGTCGGGAAGGTCTCCCTCTTGACCCTGTTGATTACAAAGCCATATTTTCTGAATGTGTTTGCTGGGGCTGACCCGAGCGCTCCTGGCTGCGTCCTCCCCGTCCCCGTTGCGAGGGCCGAAAGCCCCTCAGGAGGCTGCATGGCCTTGTCCGCTGCTGCCCGGCACCGCGCAGTGTCGGTGGGGCCTGATCCTGCTGCCCTGGGGAGGCTTTGTCTGAGGCAGAGCCCAGGCTTTCTGCAATCCGCCTCACTGGAAGCGGGGTTGAGGGGCAGAGGGGCTGACGGGCGTTCCCCCCTGGAGCCAGCAGCGGTCAGGGATTGCCCTGCTCCGCACGGCGCGTCTCCGCGCACAGATTCCCCCGATCAGCTCCCAGGAGGCAGAGCAGCGGCAGCGCTGCCCAGCTCGCTCTCCCCGCCGGGAGGGTTATCCAGCAGCACGCCGGCGGGCTTTCGTTTTTGGGACCGAAGTGAACATTTCGGGGTCCTCGTGTGCGGCTTTGTGAGCTGGCTGCTGCCGCCCCGGTGGGGCCGAGGTGTCCTGCCCTTCGCGGGAACACCAGCCCTGGCTTCCCGGCAGCCCGCTGAGCCAGTCTCGCTGCAGCGACGCCCCGGCCGCCTCGGTGCACGCCTGTTCTTGTCACCCTCTTGCACTGTCAGTGCCTGGCTGCCAAGTCCTACGGGGAAGGAGATAGGAGGGGAGAGAAAACTCCCTCCTGTCCGTCGGTTGCCTCACGCTGTGGATAAGATCAGCAGTGCCGCCGTGCCGTGCCGGGCGAGCCGGAGAAACCTGGGACCGATGAGCACGGCGGCCGCGGAGGATCCCGCCAGACAGCGTGGCCTGTAAAAGCACAAAGATAAAAGTGCCACGTCTCCTGGCCGGGGAGAGCTGCCCTTTGCTCCCCAGTCTGGGTCTCTGCCTCTGCCTCCTCTCTGCCAGCACTGCCCGAGGGCTGCAGAGGGCGGAGGGCCGGCACCCGTGGGCAGAGGGACGCGGAGCGTCGCGCCCGGTAGCGTCACCACCTCAGATCCCTTCCTTTCGCCCGGCC